CTTAAATGCTCCAAAATGCAAGAGATATCCAATAAAAGCTTTCATTATAGACTGCGAATGAAAGTTGATCTAGTAATCCACATGTCGTCTCTGCATATACCTTGTCACCAAAGGAGTGTCTGCTTTTCAACGAACAGAATGATTATACAAACTTTCAACCATAAGGCAGGATATCACCTTAAGGCAATGCATCAAAAAAACGTAACCTGTGGATTGGTGTTCTGAAAACAATAATTTGAGAGAAAGCTAATTCAAATGCCACTGGTAGAGAAACATGTCTATTTTATCGAGGGTGTCACGGAGAAAATAAGGAAAAGTCCATGAAATGTCAGGAGGTTTCCACATAAGTAAACGGACAGCTTATTTTCGATGGAAAATTTTCTGATTTTTATTAACACCCCCTCTTTTTGTTTTAACTTTTAATGAACTTTTAAGTAAGTCTTGAATTATTATCTTAGACATACTTTAATTTTTTTCAGTTTTGCAATGTAAAATTATACATCAATAGTTTAATTTGCACAGTTTTTTAGAGGAATTAAAGTGGTGATGCACAATTCTTTTAGCTGAGGTAGGAAGTCTTTCTTCCATTTCAGTCCATTCATAGCAGGTGTGTCGATAATGATAATAAAATAAGTCTTACTGATTGGCTAGGGGTTGGAAAATTGCAAATGGATCAAATATTATGGCGAACTTTAACTATACAGTAAAGGATATTTATAATATGTTTATTCTTGATGGAGGCAAGACACACTACGCAGATCTACCACGTCAAGTACACATAAAAAAGAAAACATATCCACCATGCAACACCCAGTGAGGACAGAGTTATTTCCCCCTATTTCTTATATGGCTCTTCATAACCATGTTTTCACTACGTCTTAGATTTTTTGAGAAAACACTTTTTACATTTAGGCTTATCCATGAGTAGCAAAAGAGCAGGCTTTGAAGCTACGTCACGACCAGCTCGTGTCTCGTGGCTTCGCTGCTTCTGCCGCAGCCCTCTTAATGAAGCGCCTAACGAGGAATGTTCGCAGGCTTGAGAGTAATGAAGCAAAGATCCCAGCCGGTGCAATGATCCATCTCACAAGTGTAACTCATTAATTTGGAATAACAAAGGTTATTCTGCATTGTCGTGAATTAAGTATATGTAATTACCACATAGGTGGTTGACTCAAGTCTCACGAGCGAACAATATCATATATTTTTCCAAAAAGGTTGAGCGGCTGTCACCCTTCTGGTTTGCGCTTTGTTGCAACTTCTAAGCCTAAATTACGCTTAATAGAAGATGTGTGGCGTTATATCAATGATGCTGCCATTGCGCGAAGAAAGTGTATCTAGCGAGGCTGAGAAAAAATATGTGAGAAGGTATCACTGACACAAGTCACTATGTTTGGTGATGATCAATAGGTTATTGGCTGTCGAAATCAAACGTTACTCTTGATCGCTCTGCTGATAAATATATTTGAATATGAGGCAATGGTATGGAACGGGTATGCTCTATTAGTTTGCAAGCTCATAATTGTCCATGTTGACAAAAAGGTCCATAAATGCCAAAATTGTGCAAAAATAAAATAAAACTTAGTAAAAATGAGTGACGTTACCCATCATCGTTAGTAGGAACGCTATCAGGAGTTATTAGCTAATGAAGAAAGACTTCTTTTGATTGAAATTTGTTGTCCAATTACCATTAACTGATATCTTTAAGCTCTTTAGGCAGCCGCACCTGGAGTTGTATCAAAGAGGTCTCCTCCGACTCGCATCTGAAAACTCGTTCTACTGACTGATATCTGCTTTCTTCAACGCTCTAAGTCGACAACAAATTTACGTTATCAGAGAAGATTCAGTGAGACAACCAGTATAAAGGATGGATTTTATCCTGGTATTTATTCTGTTTTTCATCTTTTTAAGTTTGGTGGGAAACAGCTGGGTTATTTTCATCATCGCAAGAAGGAGAAGATTACAGACCACAGCCAACTGGTTCATTCTTTCCTTGGCGGCGGCTGATCTGGGTGTTACTTGTGTATTTGCGCCCTACATGATCTGCGATGTGATTTTGGATACGTGCAGGGAAAGAGTTGTTAGGGTTTTCGCCTTTTCCTTCGTGAACGTCTCCGCCATCGGGTTAATTGCCATGGTTGCAGAACGCTATGTTGCAATCGTGCATTCGCTGAAATACGTCCGCGTCTTCACGACCACCAGAAGAACATTTCTTATTATTGGGGCATGTTGGGGATTTCCATTTCTATTTACCGTTTTGAAACACGCCTTGCGTCTTGCCGAACGCAGACATTCGGTTGTAAAAACTCATATATTCGATATTATTTACATTTTTCTTTTTGTAGTGGTACCAACAGTGCTTCTCTTGACAGCACATTTTCATATCCTACTAATTGCTCGCAAACTCTCTCTGCAAATGAGAGCTCTCATGAAACAAGTTAGATTTAACATGACCGCAAACTCTTTGAAAACAAAGGAAATTAGAAACGTGGGACCAAAAGCATCCACGGTGAGGTTGGTTTCTGTACTAGTTGCTATTTTTACCACTTGTTATGGAATACGTTTTTACGTCCTGCTCTGCTACAACTTCAAAATTTGTCCTGTGTCTGAACCTATACGAGTGATAAATAGGTTGCTTCTGTTGGCCAATTCTACGTTGAATCCTCTTGTGTACGCGTTCCTCAAAGAAGATATCAAGAGAGAAACAAACGCTTTTCTTCGCCGTAAGAGGCATTTAAAAACACGCCCCTTCCAGGTTCATCCAGAGTGACAAGTTAGGAGAAGATTTCCTTTCAGCAATGTTGACACAACAAAATATGAAATGATGCAGAATGGCCTGTGAACATTGCAAATACATTTGGATTAAGTTCTGCTTGTAGTGCTGTCGATTCATGGAAATAAAGCGAAAGGCTATTGAGCGATGTGAATGTTTTTATAGAATTTCAATAGGAAGGTAGTTAATTTCACCCCTCAATAAAACGTGTTTCCAAAAGCTGTCAAGAATTTTCCACCGTGTTTTTGGAACGCCTCTAGTGAGCAAAACAAAAACCTCTTTTTTCGTCGTTGCATATTTATATTAGCGTGTGAGAGCAGATGCCTACTCAGTTTTTGACTTCAAAATAACACGCCGAAAGTTTACTAAGTTTTCAAAGTGATCCGAAAACTAAGAATGCTTATTCCCTGATCTGGGATCGTAAGTACTGAGCTGTATCCGTCTTCGTTTTCGTCTGGCACCCTCTATAACAATCCAAGAGGCAGTCTTCTCGTGCATTTTTATGAACGAACATTTTGTTTTAAGCATTATGTACCCGGAGAAGTAGGATATATATATACTTTCGCTCCTTAGCCAATACTCCGGTGACTCGAGTGACATTTACACTGTTGCCATTCAGAAGAATATTGGATGAATTTGGTATTTCATATATGTTAATATTGCAGTTTAATCAATTAATCCACTCTTCTTCCTTCCATATTATCCCGTCTTTAGAGCAATTTTCTTCTTTTCAAGGCACAAAGTGATTTTATAAAAACATTGATATATGGCAGAGAAAGAAAGTGGGAAAACTCTCCCATATCACAAGACATTTGAAGATCTATCGTGAGGTTAATAACTGTACTTGTTATCATATTCATTTCGTGTTGCGAACTAGTAATCAATAACATAATCTTCGTCTCCTTAAATCTTCGTGTTCCTTCTAAACATGAAATACTGGCATTCCGTTTGTTAAATTTGGCCAATTCTACGCTAAATCCTCTTGTGTACGCGTTCCTTAAAGATGATATCAAGAGAGAATCAAAAGCTTTGCTTTGCCGCAAGAGGAAACTAAAACTACGTCCCTTCCAAGTTCATCCAGAGTGACAAACTGCGTGAAGAATTCCATCTAACAATGAAGACCATAAAATAGGTAATGAACGAAACACGACCAATGAAGTTTGTCAAATTGGTTTAATTCTAACCCTAATTATGGTATAAAAAATAATTCAGGAAAAAAAACGTTAGGCTACGGAAGGATTTCAATTCAAACAATTCAAGAAGCTATCTTCTTCAGCAATCTTGTGAGCAAAGAGCCTTTTTCTAGCGCTATATGCCCATTAAATGTAGAGATTATTTTAATTAGGCTAAGTGAAAGTTGTCCTATTTCTCTTACTCTCTAGCGACGTAACTGATATTTCTGCTGTTCTCACTAAGCAGAGTGGTAAATCATTTATTTTCAATATAGGCTACGAATTCAGTTCGATCCACTTGTACACTTTTCTTCCCTTCATATTCCTTGTCACCGAAGAAATTTTTTCTTTTCATAGTACAGCATGATATTATGCAAACCTTGACCTAAGGCAGAGGATGGCCTCTGGCAATTCATCAACTGAAGAAAAGTAGCAAATGGATTCTTATTCCGGAAATATTAATTTAATTTTGAAATATTAGGTGACAACTATAAATATACGAAAATAATGCATGTTAACTGCAGTTTAAGAAATGAATCGGAAAGTGATCTTCGCGGTAATGAACACTACTTAAGCGGTAGTGAAAATAAGGCCTAAAAAAATCCAGACAAGTCATAGTGGCACTATGTTTGGTGATTGGCTGTCGAAATCAAACGTTACTCTTCATCGCTTTGCTGATTAATGTATTTGAATAAAAGGCAATGGCATAAAACGGGTATGCTCTATTAGTGTGCAAGCTTTTTGTTGTCCATGTTGACAAAAAGGTACATAAATGCCAAAACTGTGAGGAGAAAAAACTTAAAAATGAATGACGTTACCTATTATTTTTAATTGGAGCGTTATCAGAAACTTCTTTTGATTGAAATTTGTTGTCCAATTGCCATTAACTGATATCTTTAAGCTCTTTAAGCAGCCGCATGCAGAGTTGTATCAAAGTGGTCTCCTCCGACTCGCATCTGAAAACTCGTTCTACCACCTGATATCTGCTTTCTTCAACGCTACAAGTCGACAAAAAATTTACCGTATCAGAGCAGATTCAGTGAGACAACCAGTAAAGGATGAATTTTATCCGGTTGGTTTTTCTGTTTTTCACCGTCTTAAGTTTGGTTGGAAACAGCTGGGTTATTTTCATCATCGCAAAAAGGAGAAGATTACGGACAACAGCCAACTGGTTCATTCTTTCCTTGGCGGCGGCTGATCTGAGTGTTACTTGTGCATTTTCGCCCTACATAATCTGCGAAGTGATTTTGGGTACGTGCAAGGGAGGAGTTGGTTCTATATTTCCCATTTTCTTCGCGAACGTCTCCGCCATGGGGTTGATCGCCATGGTTGCGGAACGCTATGTAGCAATCGTGCATTCGCTGAAATACGTCCGTGTATTCACGACCGCTAGAAGAACATTTCTTATTATTGGGGCATGTTGGGGATTTCCATTTCCATTAACCGCCATGTATCTTGCCGGCCGCAGACATTCGGTTGTAAAAACTCATATATTCGATTTTATTTACATTTTGCTTTTTGTAGTGTTACCAACAGTGCTTCTCTTGACAGCACATATTCATATCCTACTAATTGCTCGCAAACTTTCTCTGCAAATGAGAGCTCTCATGAAACAAGTTGGATTTAACATGACCGCAAACTCTTTGAAAATAAAGGAAATTAGAAACGTGGGAGTAAAAGCATCCACAGTGAGGTTGGTTTCTGTACTTGTTGCTATTTTTATTGCTTGTTGTGGAATACGGCTATACGTTTTCCTCTACTTCACCTTCAAAATTTTTTTTGTGTCCAAACACACACTAGTGATATATAGGTTGCTTCTATTGGTCAATTCTACGATGAATCCTCTTGTGTACGCGTTCCTCAAAGAAGATATCAAGAGAGAATCAAAAGCTTTTCTTTGCCGTAAGAGGCACGCAAAAATACGTCCCTTCCAGGTTCATCCAGAGTGACAGGTTAGGACTGAGAAGATTTCCTTTTAGCAATGCTGACACGACAAAGCATGAAAGGATGTGAAATGGCCCGTAAACATTGTGACTACATTTGAATGTAATACTAATTGTAGTGCTGTGTATTCATGGAAATAAAGCGAAAGGCTATTGAGCGATTTCAATGTTTTTATAATATTTCAACAGGTCACCCCTCAATTTGTCACCTTCTCAATTTATCTTTTTGTGCCGAAGACAAGTTAGGTCCTGTTTGGTTCAGTGTACATAAGTTCATGGATCCTCTGTTGCCACCACTGTCAGCAGAAAAACCTAATAAAGAAGGTTGCGATTGTGTCAATATGAGCTGAACAAGTGCAGATGAAAAAATCTTCAGGATTGATACTTACAAAAACTGATGCATACAGCTTACAAAAATAGTTTTTTTCTATACTGCCAATTTCTAGCTATCATCTTTTAGGGGACAGATATGGAAAGGAACCGTGCCTATGCAGGAACAGTAGCTATACGAAGGTAGACTGACAAAATGAAGAGAAACGAACGAACAAAGAAAGAAAAATTACTATTTGAGTCCTCAGGTGCTACGTAATATTTATTATAAGGGCGCCTTGAACAGTTCATTAGCTTCATAAGGGAACAAAACAGTAAGAAAAATATACATGCTTTCCCTTTGTGGAGAGCCGCTATTATTAACTTCTCGCAGGAGCGAAGTGAATGTTTCCAGGATGCTTAGGGACAGGGACACTTCAAGGGTACATTTGTTAAGCTATGTGTCGCATGATTGTGCGTTCTTTTACCAAGCATGAAGGGGTAAGTTTCTAAAGAAACTGTGGTGCTGCGTCGGTGGGAGAGTATAGCAGGTAATTTAGTGTTAACAACTGGGTTGAAAACGTAAATTAGCCACCGTAAAGAGTAAAAAAGCTGACGTTTCGAGCGTTAGCCCTTCGTCAGAGCGATTGCTCTGACGAAGGGCTAACGCTCGAAACGTCAGCTTTTTTACTCTTTACGGTGGCTAATTTACGTTTTCAACCCAGTTGTTAACACTAAATTACCTGCTTTTACCAAGCAGTTGTTTTACTCTCTGTTTAATGAAAAATAATTGTCAAAAATCTCAAATTTGGTTCCCGTACGATATTAAAACCAACTTTTCTGCCAAAAGCTGCATACATTTGAAGGGTCAATAAAACATGTTTCAAAAGCTGTCATGAATTTTACCATCGAGTGTATGGAATGCCTCTAGAGAGCAAATAAAAACCTCTTTTTTCACTGTTGCATATTCGTATTAGCTTGCGAGAGCAGATGCCCTTTTAGCTTTTGACTTCAAAATAACACGCGAAAAGTTTACTAAGTGCTCGAAGTGATCAGAAAATTAAGAATGCTTATTCCTTGGTCAGGGATTGTAAGGTTCTGTATCTGTCTTCGTCTTCGTCTAGCACCCGCTATAACAATCCAAATGGTAGTCCTCTCAAGCATTCTTATGAACGAACAGCCTGTTTCAAGCATTATATGCCCGAAAATGTAATGATAATAATAAATGTAAATGTAAATGTACATAATAAATGTAATAATTAGCTGGAATTCTTCACTGCGTGAAGAATTCCAGCTAATAATGAAGACCACAAAATAGGTATTGAACGAAATACGACCAATTAAGTTTTTCAAAGTGGTTTAATTCTAACTTCAATTATAGTACGAAAAATAAGTCAGAAAAAAAAAACCGCAAGGCTACGGAAGGATTTCAATTCAAGCAATTCAAGAAGCTATCTTCTTCTGCAATTTTGTGATCAAAAAGCCTTTTTCTAGCGCTATATGCCCATTAAATGTAAGGGATATTTTAATTAGGCAAAGTGAAAGTTGTCTAATTTCTCTTACTCCCTGGCGACGTAACTGACACTTCTACTGTTGTCACTCAGCAGAGTGATAAATCATTTAGTTTTCAATATGGGCTGCGAATGCGAATTCGATCAACTAGTACACTTTTCTTCCCTTCATATTCCTTGTCACCTAAGATATTTTTGGTTTCATTGTAAGGCATGATATTATGCAGACTTTGACCTAAGGCAGTGAATCGTCCTTGGGAAATCCATTAACTGAAGAAAAGTAGCGGATGGATTCTTGTTCCAGCAACATTAATTTAATTTTGAAATACAAAGTGACGACTGCAAATATATGAAAATCATATATGATCTTCGCAGTAATGAACACTACATAAGCGGTAGTGAAAATAAGGCCTGGAAAAAATCCAGGCCTGTGCGGGATTTGAATCCCACGATATATGCGGTACCGGTGCAATGCTATATTAACTGAGCTTACAAGTCAACTGGGAGTTGGTCATTATGTTGGTTCATAATAAACCCGTGAAGTGATGACTGTAAATAAATGTGAACTGCGGCTTAACAAATAAATTTGAAAGAAATCTTCGCAGCAATTTTCAGGACCTATTTTTACTATTGCTTAAGTAGTGTTAATTACTGAAAAGAACTACAAAACGTTGGTAAAATGACTTCAAATAAATTATTCATGAGAAATTTAATACATGAATACAAAGCTACTCAACGCTTTCGTGCACGGCTATTAAAGACGTAAAAGGGGATCAAAAGCTTCCCTTTACCAACTATACCACAAAATCAATTCAAAATTAACGTCTCCCAGTCACAAGATGTGTGAAGATCAACCCATGATAATGGTGAGAAAAAAAAGGAATAATACTCAACAAATGATTCGAGGCCTTGAAAAATAAACTCAAGTGCAGGGCAAATGAGGAAGCGTCTCTTTAAAGTTATCGTACGAAAAGATTGATTGTTTCCAAGGTAGCCAAAGGATGAAGACTCGTGGAGAGCGCATTCATCAAACCTAAAGTCGCTCAGCTGTGTCTTTCCATTCTTATTGTTTTCATTGAGTTTTTCATCGAATAAAAATCATTTTAAAAAATTACAAGGGTTTGTTTTCTGTAAGTTTTGAAAGCTTCCTTTCTGTCAATAGCTGCATACATTTGATGGGTAAAGACATCACGCTTTCATTAGTTGTCATAAATTTCTCAAAAAGTGATTGGAATTTTCAATGGAAGGGAACGCTTCTCGAAGACTGATGAAAAGCTCAATTTTTCGCCGGTACATATTCATATAAGCTTGCACAACAGTTTCTGTATTTCAAAATTGCTCGTGGAAGTTTAGTAAATGCTCAAAGTGATCGGTAAATTAAAAATGGCAGTTTGCTGGTCTGGGATTTAGGCTGCTGCATCCGTCTATGTTTAGCACCACTTATAACAATTCAAGAAACTATCCTCTGTGATCGAACTCGAGCTGTTGCCATGTTAAATGATCCAAGATGCTAGGGACATACAATAAAAGCTTTCAATATAGACTGCGAATGAAAGTTGATCTATTAATCTACCTGTCGTCTGTGCATATGCTTTGTCACCATAGGACTGTCTGCTTTTCAACGTACAGAATGATTATACAAATTTTCAACCATAAGGCATAAGATCACCTTTAGGCAATCCATCAACAAAAAGTAACCTGTGGATCAGTGTTCCGAAAACAATATTCTGATTTTTAATAGGCTAAAAATAAGCATAACGGACTTGGACAAATAATTTGAGAGAAAGCTATTTCAAATGCCCCTGGTAGAGTACATATTTATTTTATCGTGGGTGTCATGGAGAAAATAAGGAAAAGTCCATCAAATGTCAGCAGGTTTCCATATCAGTGAACGGCCACTTTATTTTCGATGAGCAATTTTCTGATTTTTATTAACACTCCTTCCTTTCGTTTTAACTTTTAATGAACTTTTAAGTAAGTACGTCTTGAGTTATTATCTTAGATATAAATGAATATTTAGTTTTGCAATGTAAAACTATACATTAATAGTTAAATTTAACAGTTTTTTAGAGGAATTAGAGTGGTTGTGCACAATTCTTTTAGTTGAGGTAGGAAGCCTTTGTTCCATTTCAGTTTATTCATGGTACCGGGGTGTGTCGATAATGTAATTTAAAAAGTCTTACTGATTGGCTATGGGTTGGAAAATTGTAAATGGGTTCAAAATTATAGCGAACTTTCATTGCACGGTAAACGATATTTGAAATATGTTTATTCTTGATGGAGGCAAGACACACCACGCAGATCTACCACGCCAAGTGCACATAAAAAGGGAAAACATATACACCATGCAACACCCAATGAGGACAGATTTATTTCCGCCTATTTCTTACGTGGTTTTTCATAACCATGTTTTTACTACGTCCTACTTTTTTGACGAAAACGCTTTTTACATCTAGGCTTATCAATGAGTAGCCCACGAGCTGGCTTTGATGCTACGTCACGTAAATGAATACATTTAAATTTAGAACTAGGCGTAGTGCTGTTGATTCATGGAAATAAAGGGAAAGACTATTGAGCGATTTGAATGTTTTTATAGAATTTTAACAGGCCGGTAGTTAATATCACCCCTCAATCTGTCACCTTCTCAATTTATCTTTTTGTGCCAAAGAAAGGTTAGGCCCTGTTTGGTTCAGTGATGTTTAGGCCATAACTGTTTTGTTTTCCCCATCGTATAGAATAGTCCTAATTCAGTGTCCATGAGTTCATGGATCTTCTGTCAGCAGAAAAACCTAGTTAATATAAGCTGAACACGTGCAAATGAATAGATCCTCAGTATTGGTACTTACGAAAACTAATGCATACCGCTTACAAAAATAACTTTCTTCTCTACTGCCAATTTTTAGCTATCATCTTTTAGGGGACAGATATGGAAACGCAGAATCGAAGGTAGACTGACAAAATGAAGAGAAACGAACGAAAGAAGAAAGGGAGAAAAATGCTATTTCCGTCCCCAGGAACTACGCAGTATTTATCATTGGGGCGCCTTGAAAAAGTCATTAGCTTCATAGGGGAACAAAACAGTGAGACAACTATACATGCTTTCCCTTTGTGGAGAGCCACTATTATTAATTATAAGTCCTCGCAGGAGCGAAGTGAATGTTTCCAACATGCTAAGGGACACAGACACTTCAAAGGTGCATTTGTTACGCTACGTGTCGCATGATTGTGCGTTCTTTTACCAAGCAGTTGTTTTACTCTTTGTTGAATAAAAAATAACTGTCAAAAATCCCTAAAATTTGGTTCCCGAACAATATAAAAACCAACCTTTCTATCAGCAGCTGCATACATTTGAAGGGTCAATAAAACATGTTTCCATAAGCTGTCATAAATTTTTCCATCGAGTGTTTGGAACGCCTTTAGAATGCAAATATAAACCTCTTTTTTCGCCGTTGCATATTTATATTAGCTTTTGACTTCAAAATGACACGCCAAAAGTTTAAGTGCTCAAAGTGATCAGAAAATTAAGAATGCTTATTCCATGGTCCGGGATCATAAGCCGCTGCTGTATCCGTCTTTGTCTTCGTTGAGCATCCGTTACAACAATCCAAGAGGCAGTCCTCTCATGCATTTTTATGAACGAACAGCCTGTTTCAAACCTTATATGTCCGGTAATGTAAGAGATATTTTAATTAAGTAAAGTGTGACTTGCACAATAAACAAAATATCGCTCCTCCGCCAACACTCTGGCGACTCGAGTGACATTTATACTGTTACCACTCAGCAGAATGTTCGATGATTTTGGTATTTTATGTATGTTACTATTGCAGATTGATCAATTGATTCACTTTTCTTCCTTCCATATTATTCCTTGTCTTCACAGCAATTTTCTTCTTTTCAAGGCGCATCTTGATTTTCTAGAAACTTAGATATGAGACAGAGGAAAGCCTGAACTTCTGATAAACATGTCGTGGGAAAAATTGGGAAAAGTAAAGAGCTTATTTTCCCCATTGCTTATATCAGCTTGCGAGAGCAGATGCCCTTTCGGCTTTTAGGTCCAAACTAACAAGCGGAAAGTTGACTAAGTACTCAAAGTGATGGGTGAATTAAGAAAGGCCATTTCCTAGTCTGGGATCTTAGGTTAGCTGATGCATCCATTTATGTTTAACAACAGATATAACAACACAAGAAGCTGTCTTCTTCTGCAGTCTTGCGATCAAAAAGCCCTTATCTAGCCTTACGTGCCCATTAAATGTAGGGGATATTTTAATTAGGCGAAGTGAAAGTTGTCTAATTTGTCTTACTCTCTGGCAACGTAACTGACATTTCTATTGTTGTCACTCAGAAGAGTGATAAATTAATCATTTAGTTTTCAATATAGCCTGAGAATTCAGTTTAATCAACTAACACTCTGCTTCGCCCCCTCGAGGCCTTGAAAAATAAGCTTAACTGCTGGGCAAATAAGGAAGAGTCATTTCAAAGCTATCGTACGAACGAGATTGATTGTTTCCAAGGTAGCTCACGGATGAAGACCCATGGAGAGCGCATTCATCAAGCCTAGAGTCGCTTAGCTGCGTCTTCCCATTCTAACTGTTTATTGAATTCTTCATTGAATAAAAATCATCTTTAAAAAATTATTATGGTTTGTTTTCTGTCAGTTGTGAAAGCTACTTTTCTGTCAATAGCTGCATACATTTAATGGGTAAATAAAACATGCTTTCATTAGCTCTCAAAAAGTGATTGGAATTTTGAATTGAAGAGAACGCTTCTCGACAACTGATTAAAAGCTCAATTTTTTGCCGGTGCATATTCTCATAAGCTTGCGAGAACAATTTCTGTGTTCAAAATTGCTGGTGGAAAGTTTAGTAACTGCTCAAAGTGATTGGTGAATTAAAATGGCAATTTGGTAATCTGTGATTTAGGTTCAAGAAACTATCCTCTGTGATCGAACGGACTGTTGTCATGTCAGTAAATGCTCCAAAAATTCTGATTTTTAATGGGCTAAAAATAAGCATAACGAACGTAAGCAAATAATTCCAAAGAAAGTTAATTCAAATGCTACTGATAGAGGAACAAGCATGTTTATTTTATCGTGGGTGTCATGGAGAAAACAAGGAAAAGTCCATCAAATGTCAGCAGGTTTCCACAATAGTGAACGGACAACTTATCTTCGATTAATAATTTTCTTATTTTTATTAACACCCCTCTTTTCATTTTAACTTTTAATGAACTTTCTCTTGAGTTATTATCTTAGACATAAATGAATATTTAGTTTTGCAATGTAAAATTATACATTAATAGTTCAATTAATACAGTTTTTTAGAGGAATTAAAGTGGTGATGCATAATTCTTTTAGCTGATGTTGGAAGTCTTGGTTCCATTTCAGTTCATTCATAGCATGTGTTTCGATAATGATAATAAAAATATGTGAGAAGGAATCACCGACACAAGACACTGTTTGGTGATGATCAATAAGTTATTGGCTGTCGAAATCAAACGTTACTCTCGATCGCTTTGCTGACTGAATAAAAGGCAATGACATGGAACGGGTATGCTCTATTAGTTTGCAAGCTCGTAATTGTCCGTGTTGACAAAAAGGTCCATAAATGCCAAAACTGTGCAAAAACAAATAACACTTAATAAAAATAAGTGACGTTATCTATTGTTGTTAGTAGGAACGCTATCAGAGAGTTATTAGCTGATGAAGAAGGACTTCTTTTGATTGAAATTTGTTGTCCAATTACCATCAACTGATATCTTTGAGCTCTTTAAGCAGCCGCATGCAGAGTTGTATCAAAGAGGTCTCCTCCGACTCGGATCTGAAAACTCGTTCTACTACCTGATATCTTCTTTCTTCAACGCTACAAATCGACAACAAATTTACCTTACAGGAGCAGATTCAGTGAGACAATCCGTAAAGGATGGATTTTATCCTGGTGGTTTTTCTGTTCTTCACCTTCTTAAGTTTGGTTGATAACAGCTGGGTTATTTTCATCATCGTAAGAAAGAGAAGATTACGGACAACAGCCAACTGGTTCATTCTTTCGTTGGCGGCGGCTGATCTGGGTGTTACTTGCGCATTTTCGCCTTACATGATCTGCGAAGTGATTTTGGATACGTGCAAGGAAGGAATAGGCGTGATTTTCGCCTTTTCCTTCGTGAACGTCTCCGCCATGGGGTTGATCGCCATGGTTGCGGAACGCTATGTTGCCATCGTGCATTCGCTGAAATACGTCCGTGTCTTCACAACCACCAGAAGAACATTCTTTATTATTGGGGCCTGTTGGGGATTTCCATTTCTATTCCCCGTTTTGCAACTCGCCATGTATCTTGCCGGCGGGGTAAGACATTCGGTTTTAAAATTCCCTTTATTAGGAGTTATTTACATTTTTCTTTTTGTAGTGTTACCAACAGTACTTCTCTTGACAGCACATTTTCATATCCTCTTAATTGCTCGCAAACTCTCTCTGCAAATGAGAGCTCTCATGAAACAAGTTAGATTTAACATAACTGCAAACTCTTTAAAAATAAGAGAAATTAGAAACGTGGGACTAAAAGCATCCACAGTGCGGTTGATTACTGTACTTGTTGCTATTTTTACCGCTTGTTATGGAGTAAATTTTCACATCCTGATCTGCCAAGCTCTCAAAATTTGTCATGTGTCCCAACATACACTGGTGATAAATAGGTTGCTTCTATTAGCCAATTCTACGTTGAATCCTCTTGTGTACGCGTTCCTCAAAGAAGATATCAAGAGAGAATCAAAAGCTTTTCTTTGCCGCAAGAGGCACTGAAAAATACGTCCCTTCCAGGTTCATCCAGAGTGACAAGTTAGGAGAAGATTTCCTTTCAGCAATGCTTACACGACAAAGTATGAAGCGATGCAAAATGGACCGTGAACATTGTAAATACATTTGGATTCAGTACTAGTTATAGTGCTGTCGATTCATGGAATTAAAGCGAAAGGCTATTGAGCGATATGAATGTTTTTATACTATTTCAACAGGTCGGTAGTTAATTTCAGCCCTCAATAAAACATGTTTCCATAAGCTGTCAAAGATTTTCTATCGAATTTTTGGAACGCCACTAGAGAGCAAATAAAAACCTCTTTTTTCGCCGTTGCATATTTACATTAGCCTACAAGAGCAGATGCATCTTTCAGCTTTTAATTTCCAAATAACACGCATAAGTGTTCAAAGTGATCGGAAAATTAAGAATGCTTATTCCCTGGTCTGGAATCGTAAGCTGCTCCATCCATCTTTGTCTTCGTCTAGCGCCCGCTATAACAATCCAAGAAATAGTCCCCTCGTACATTTTTTTTGAACGAACAGCCAGTTTCAAGCCTTAAATGCCCGGAAGTGTAAGAGATATTTCAATTAAGAAAAGTGAAAGCTGTCTCATAACTTGCACAATAAACAAAATATCGCTCCTCAACCAACACTCTAGCGACTCGCGTGACATTTATACTATTACCACTTGGCAGAACGTTCGATGATTTTGGTATTTTATATAGGTTACTATAATTGTAGTTTGTGATTTTTTAAAAACTTAGATATGTGGCAAAGGAAAGCCTTCTGACAATCCATCTAAACATGTCATGGAAAAAAATTGGGAAAATCATTCATAAATAGCTGGATGCATATTTGCTTTTAGAGGAATAAAATTCCAATTTTCTAGTTCAGAACAAATAACAGCTGGTCAGTTGAGTGCAGTATCTTCTTTATCGACTTTTGACATTAAAACGCATTTCTATATGCCTTCTTTTGTCACCTTCACCCATTCCTGGTTTGGACCCCGTACGATGAGAAGCAAAACTTCTGTCAACAGCTGCATCCATTTGATGGGTCTTGCTCGAAACATGCATGAACTTTCAATTGAAGTGAACGCTTCTCGAAAACAAACAATTTCTTTTCGCCAATGCACATTCATATTAGGTAATTAAGTGTTAACAGCTGAGTTGAAGACGTAAATTGGCCACCGTAAAGAGTAAAAAAGCTGACGTTTCGAGCGTTAGCCCGAAGAGAGTGATATGTTAGGATGACGAAGGGCTAATGCTCGAAACGTCAGCTTTTTTATTCTTTACGGGGGCCAATTTACGTTTTCAACTCAACTGTTAACACTTAATTACCTGCTACACTCTCCCACCGACGCAGCACCGCAGTTTCTTTTGAAACTTACATATTCATATTAACGCGCGAGAGCAGATGCCTTTTCAGCTTCTGCTTTCAAAACTATACGTGGAAGGTTTAGTAATAACTTAAAGTGATCAGTAAAATGGTTATATGATGCACATTTTTCTAATTGAACGAAGATCTCTTTATAGTCCATTTGAGTCCATTAATATTTATGGAAGATGTTTCGAGAACAATAATTAGTCTCACTAGATGGCTTAGAGATGGCAAATTGCACAGGAGTTAAAAGTTAATGTGAACTTTAATTACGAAGTAAATGATATTGAAGAGTGTTCCTTTTTATCTTCGAAAGCGTAGAAGGAAGAAGAGGAGTTATTTTTTAATTTAATAGTTAAATGGAAGATGCTTAAAAACACAGGGTGTATCCTCCAAATGTTGGAGCCCAAAAGCGAGATGAACTCAGCTTTACGGAATGAATCCTGACATCAGAACTCAAATATTCCTTCCGAGTAAGATGACGAGCTCTTGGCAGGTTGGTGTGTTTTGTAACTAATTGTATTGTTGGTACTATTTCGCCGTTTCAAAAGCAGAATCCTAAACATGCGATCGTTCTTTTTAATTTCTTTCACATTTTCTTACGATTGGTCACATGGGGTATTCAGTCCTAAATGACCACTTCTTACCTGAAAACTGTGGCGAAAAAGCCATGTTTTTTCAGTAAAAAAAAATTAGTTGTCCTGTTGCGATGACCAACCAATCAACTCGAAATCGATTTCATATTGTAAGTGCAAAACCCATTGACTGCCTTTCTAGTAATTTTTCCGTCGATGTTGTTTTCGTCCTGGCGGTGTCTACCTTTAAATGTTGTGGATATTTTACTTTCATATAAATAATGAATTGAAGAATAAAATTACAAACTAGCAAAATACCTCTTCTCGTAACGTATTCCATCGCTTTTACATCTCCAAATCTACTCTCAACTGTGATAACTTCCCTCGCTTAAAATCAACTCGAGATACGAGATGTAAAATCGGTCATAGATTGTAAAAGAGGTTTATGAGTAAGGAGCCTTCTAACTTGTCTTTGTTTATTTCCTCGCACCCTCATACATACAGCTAGCAGTGTTCGCAGCAGCGCGCCAAGAAACCCCGGCAGGAAAAAAGCTTCTAAAACTCCATTTCAGTTAATGTTCGTTCCATTCCAGTTAATGATCGCTTTAAACTAAATTGCTTTCTTAGCAATTAGCCAATTATGTACTGCCGGCGAAGGATGCAGTACACTTCGTTATATATTTCTTTACGGGTCAATGTTCTAGAAAAAACTTGAGCGTTCTGCTGCGCTGTGTGATCCGTGAGCGTTTTCATCGTGGTTTGAACTTGCTGTTGTTTGCGGTTTTATTCCCCGGAGTGGACATACCGTTACTATGTTTTTTTTAGCGTTTAAAATCGAAAAATACATGGTTTTGGTGAAAACCCTCATCCTTTTCAACTCCCACGACTGTCTTGTTGTGTGTATCAATAGAATAGGTCAGCAAATTTGCAATTAATGTTTCGCGAGGGGCTAGAGAAAATGGTTGACTCCACGAGAGTGAAGCCAACGCTTTTAATAAGGTCGTTTGTTAACTGATTTATTTGAATAAAAAAAGTGATGCCTTAGACAAGGGTGTGTTGTTTATTATTTGGCAAACTTTTAAACATCTATGTCAGCAATAATGCAGATACTGTCCAGAAATATGTCAGTGACGATACTTATAATTATTGCTAGGGCGGCTGTAACCGAGCAATTGGCTGGTGATGAAAGGACTTTTGTGATTAAAATTTGATGACAGATAAGCATGTAAATGACATCTTTAAACTCTCTAGCCAGTCAGCCATAGAGTTGTATTGAAAGAACTCGCCTCCGAGTGGCATTCTGAAAACCCTTTAATTAAACGCCCTTGCTTCTATCAATGCTCCAATGTAAAATTTTCATCATCCATCCAGATCCATATACAGTTACAAAATCAAAAAAAGGATGGGTATTGACTGGATTGTAGGTTGGTTTTTCACTTTCTTTGGTCTGTTAGGAAACACCTGGATTATTTTCATCATCGCTAAAAGAAGAAGGCTACAAACGACAACCAACTGGTTCATCCTTTCCTTGGCGGTGGCCGATCTGGGTGTTACTTGCGGATATTTTCCAGCGTCCATGATCTGCAATGTGCTTGTGGATACATGCAACAACGGCCTTCGCCTCATATTCGCGAACTTTTTCAGTGAAGTTTCTGTCACTTGCTTGATCGCTATGATTGGTGAACGCTATATCGCTATCGTACATTCGTTGAGATACATCCATTACCTGACCACTTCTAGAGCAGTCACCGTTATCACGATCTGCTGGGCATTTCCTTTTCTTTTAGCCATTTTCCGGCTTATAGTCTATCTTGGCAGCGGTGAGGATTTAATCGCAGAAACGCCTGTATTCGCTTTCATTCACATCATGCTTTTCCTATTCCTACCAACAATATTTCTTTTCGCAGCACATCTCCATATCCTATTAATTGCTCGCAAACTCTCTCGTGAGATGAAAGTTCTTTTGAAACAGGTGAGATTTAACGTAGCAGCAAACTCGGTGAAAATAATGGAGGTTAGAAATGTAGGATTAAAAGCATCCACAGTCAGGCTGGTAACTGTGCTTGTTATCATATGTATGGCGTTTTACGGAATAGATATCCATCTGTCGATATGCTTTTATTTTAATCTCTGCGATGAGTCCTATTATGAAACAGTGGCAGCTGAAATGCTCCTCTTGACCAATTCTACGTTGAACCCTCTTGTGTACGCTTTTCTCAAAGAAGATATCAAAGCAGAATCAAAAGCTTTCCTTTGCTGCAGAAGGAAACTGAAACGATGTCCCTCTCAGCTTCATCCAGAGTAACGAGCCGCGAGATAAATTCATACCTCGGTGACTACGAAAATGGGTAAAAACTGACATACGACTGAAAATATCTGTGCTCAAGCTAGTCTTTGTTGCGTGCTCTCCCCAAATATGCACAATACATGACTTTTTTGCATAGGTCTTTCATCGCCATCATTGTCCGAATAAAGGCTTGAAAAACAATGTAACTGTAAGTGATCATAACATGAAAACCTAAAGATTTATCTCGATTGAAACCGATTAAAAGTAAAGAACTTGTAAACAACTGTACTTTCTCTATCGTAAGTCTTGAGCCATCTGTTACAGCGATTAGATCTGAACACTGAGAATTTGTGTATAATAACAAGAATGTAGAGAGACGAAATTAAACAAATAATAATGTCCATGAGAGAGGAGAGGAAGGTATATGTACGTAGATTACGTAGGTTCAAGGACTAGTGGCTCCCGTCTTTGTGTTTTGTTGTCGCTTCACAGCTTAAATACGCGCATAAAAATATGTTGCGTTATGTCATTCAACGACTTTTATAAACTGCAGCTCTGTAGGATCGCATGAGATATGTATATACGGCGGATTAAAATGAATCAATACCGACATAATACATTTTGTCTGAGTGATTGGCTGACATGACAGGGAGAAACTGTGTTTGTTGATTTATTTAAATAACAAAAGTGACAAAAAACCCAATATGCGGAAGCCGAGCAAATATAATTTACTGACCACACTTACCGATGTTAATAGGGCACAAGTCAGAGACCAATTGGCTCTCCAGAAAATCGCACTCAAACGTGTGTTAAAAGAACTCACCCTCGTGTTACAATCTGAAAAACCCGTCAATTTAATACCTTTGAATCCGTCAACGCTCCAAACTCGTCGACAAATTTTCATTATCAATTCCAAATTCAGCCTCACAGCGAGCAGAAGATGGATATTGACTGGACTGCCGGTTGGTTTTTTTACTTTCTTTGACCTGTTGGGAAACACCTGAATTATTTTCATCATCGCTAGAAGAAGAAGATTACAGACGACAACCAACTGGTTCATCCTTTCCTTGGCAGCCGCCGATCTGGGTGTTACATGCGGACATTTTCCGGCGTCCATGATCTGCAATGTG